CTTTCTTTTTCTCCTTTATTCCTTCCTTCCCTTTTTCTCCTTCCTTTTCTTTTTCTCTCTTTTTCTTCCTCCCTTCCTCCTTCCTTCCTTTCCTTTCTTTCTTTTTCTCCTTCCTTTTCCTTTTTTCCTTTTTCTTCCTCCCTCCCTCCCTTCCTTCCTCTCTCTTTGTCTTGCTTTGGCACGGCCATCCTCTCTTCTCTCCCAACCAGATCTTGAACAATCTCCCGCCTTGCCACCCTTGCCAGCCCTCCCAGACAGGCAGCAGATGCCAGCCCCTCCCCTCCCTCCCTCTGTCAATAAGAAAGTGCAGCCAGGCAGGTGGTGGAGATGGCAGGGCGGGGCGGCCTTCACCAGTTTTGGCTCCTGTTCAGGTGGCCGTTGGAGGCGAACTACTTCCAGGCAAGGATGGGTGTTCCAGCTGTTATCAGGCAGACCTAAAGGGGCAGGTGTGGTGGGGGGTGAAGACCGGAGCTGGCAACCCCTGGATTTGTGGTGGTCTCAGCAGCTTCCTAGATAGACGGACCCTGAAGACCTTGGGGAAAGGTTGGGGGAACCAGAGCAGGTGTGCAAAACCATTCATGCAAATTCTCAATGCAATATTCCATCGGGCAACAGATGGACAGGTGAACATCACCTGGTGAAGGTGCTCACCTCTTAGTTTCTCCCCTGACCTTTCCCAGGCTTTTGAAATGTTTAATCAATAATCTCTTTGCAATGCAAATGAAGCGTTTGCTCCAGGCTGGGTTTATATTTTCCCTTTTATCTTCCTCTTTTTGTCTTCCAAAAGTTCTCCTGGGCCTTGTGCAAAAAAACTTGAGATCTCCCTGAAAAATCAGCAAACTCAACCTTGCGACCCAACGCTTAGCCCGGAGGTGGGTGGTGGGGGCACCAAACGGGCTTGCTTAAAAGCCCCTAGGCATTTGCCGAAAAACAAAAGCTAGGCCTGGGTTTGCACCCTGTGGTAACCTTTGAACCGTGATGCATGCAAGGGAATGTTTATGCAAATCTCCATCAACGGCTGCGATTTGCATGGGGATTTCAACGAATGCAAATCTAGATTTGCAACCCATCGGTTGCTTGGCATGATTGAAAGCAGCACATTCCTAAATATTTCTCTCCCCCCACGTTCTTTCTAGACCTACATCTTCACCGATGGCGAAGACCAAGAGCTCAAGCAAAGAATTGGTGAGTTGGTGGGATTTCGTCTTGGGCAAGTGTCGAAAATGCCCCTTTCTTACAGACCCCGATGGATGGTGGGATTCCCAGGGAATGTGGCGATTAACTTTCCCTAGGGGAGGGAGGGAAGGTGGATACTTACTCAGTGAGTGTTTAATGAGAGCCCCCACCCCCTCCTCTCCTCCTCCCAGGCTAGTTCAGACCCTCCTATTCTTCTGATGCTAATGGGCTCTATTCATGCTTTCAATTGATTCCTCTCCAGACAACCAAAAGGAGTAGCAGGTGGCAAATGATGAGAAAAGATTGGCATGAATAGCCAGACAAAGACTGTTAAAAGGGGGGCTGGAAAGATCCAGTTTTCTGTTCCACTTCCCACATTTTCCTTTCTGAGTTAACACTTGGCTGGGTTAAGTCTGGGAACAAAGGAATTTCCCTTTGGTCAGCAAGGAGGAGAGGAGAATGCATCTGCATTTGTCTTGGCTAACAGTTAAACATCTGCAGAAGGTTGCTCCTCGTCCCCATTTGGGGTGGAAATATTCGGGGAATTACTTGAAGCTTTAGCTATTATAAAGGCACAGAGATTCTCCATCATCCAGGTCATGGTTGTCCCAAAGCTGCTTTTGGTTTTTTTTTTGTTCTTTGAAAACATTTAGCTTCTCATCCAAGCAGCTCCTTCAGAACTGAAGAAGCTTCTTTGGAGAAGTAAAATGTTTTCAAGGAAGAAACCAAGAAAGTCCAGCTGCCTTTTGGAAAAGCACCTTGGGATGGTTTTCTTGTTGGTTACTCAAGTTATCTTCTGGTCTTGAGGAACTGGGAGATAGGGAAGTGTGACTCTAAAGCAAGGGTCTTCCAACTTGGCAAGTTTAACACTTGTGGACTTCAACTCCCAAAATTCCTGAGCTAACATGACTGGAAGAGGAAGAATTCTGGGAGTTGAAGTCCACAAGTCTTAAAGCTGTCGAGTTTGAAGACCCTTGCTCTAAAGATATCAAAATCCTTGGACAGACATGGTGGTTGTATGTTTCTCCACCGATCTTCTGGGTGAACTTTCCGATTTCAGCCTGAAATTTTCAGAAGGATGTCCTGTGCCTGAATATTGAGCTAATCAGCTCAATACAGTATGAGAACAGGATATAACTTGAAGTGATCTTGTAGGGTTCTGATTCAGAATCTTGGTCACGGGGCTGGATCAAACCTCTAGCTGAGATCTTAAGCAATAACCTAAGCTGCTCAAGATGGATTGATAGATGTAGGACAATGGAGACCATCATAAACCAAATCGATCCATAGGGGGGAAAATATCCATAGTTGGGCACCACAATGTCATCAAAGAGTATGCAAAACTTTTGGGAAGTATCCCCTTAGCTGGGCCTGATGCAGATCCTTCTCATGTTATGGATTTTTTGAATTCAGTTGTAGTAACTTCGTCTTTTAATGCAATTTAACATCCCCCCCCCCTTGTCTCTCTTCAGGAAACGTCATCAACACCAATTGTTCTTCTGCTCACAGCCGCCAAGCCTTATCCTGCAAGATGGCGGTCGAATATGACCAGTTCATTGAATCCGGACGAAAGTAAGAACAGAGAAAAGAGGGTGGTTGGAGGAGGGAGATTCAAAGCTTTGGTTTCCAAAGCTGTAGGATCTGGATACTCTCCTTTTGGAAGGGAAGAGAGTTCAGATGTAGAACATCTTGATCCATGCAAGTGCAACGCTTAAATGGAGGGCTGAATTCTTCTCCTTTGTCTGAATATATCTGAATTCAGATGATCCTGCCCACTGAGGTTCAGTTGAAATGTTTGAAGGCTAGAGTTCTTGGGTTGATGTCCTAACAGATCGAAGATCAGTGATCCAAGCACCTTTGAATTCCTCGATTCCTGACCTAATCCAGTCTTGTTTTCACCCTTGCGTTAGGTGGTTTTGCCACGTGGACGATGATAATTATGTGAATGTCCAGATGTTGGTCAAACTGCTCTCCAGCTATGCTCACACGCAGGATATCTACATTGGAAAACCCAGTCTGGACAAGCCTATCCAGGCTACTGAGAGAATCAGCGAGAACAAGATGGTAAGCCAGCAAGGAGAATGAGTGGACTTGATGGTGAACATTTGGGGTTGTCCGATTATGCATCTTCAGAGGGAATGGATTCTCCTGGTTCAAAGGAGGCATCCCTTTCTTGGAGGGATGGAGAAGGAGAAGACCTTGGGTGGGATTCCCTCCCTGGGTCCCAACTATCTCTGGGAAATTGGGCAAACCTTTGACTCCATGTGCTCTTCTGTGTCAAAAAAAGACCCTTCTTGAGTCTTCATCTCTTGATTCTTCTCACCCCACAGCATCCGGTCCACTTCTGGTTTGCCACCGGTGGTGCTGGGTTCTGCATCAGTCGTGGTCTGGCACTGAAGATGACCCCTTGGGCCAGGTAAGAGACTTGGTTTTGTTGAGTGTATAGTTGTTGCAATATGAAAACTGGAGGATTAAAAAAATAGAGTATACACATCAACCATCCCTGACACATCTCAATGGTGGTTACAGATCAAACTCCATAATATTTATGGGCTACATTTTAGCACCTTTGATGCAGAAGGTCGTTTCTTAAATGTATAAAGCAAGATAGTTTATTGGGACTCCAAAATTTTAGCAAATTTCCCTATGCTCTGCTTTTAACCTGCTGGAGACCCAGGCGTGACTTATTCAAACCATGCTTAGCACATCTGAATACGACACATGAATCCATCACCTGACATTCCCATCAGTTGGAAAACCACATTAACGAATTGTGTTTTCCCTTACACATAAATGTGAGGGCTTTTAATGTTAGAGTTTAATCCTTTTTGGGTTTTCAAATTGGGAACAGATGGAATAATAATGAAGCCTGTTTTTTTTCTTACTCTTTCCCAATTCTCGTCCCTTTCTCTCCTCCAGCGGTGGGCATTTCATGAGCACCGCGGAAAAGATTCGTCTCCCTGATGATTGCACCATTGGGTACATCATAGAATCTGTCCTGGGGGTGAAACTGATCCGAAGTAATCTTTTCCACTCGCATCTCGAGAATCTCCATCAAGTACCCAAGTCTGAGATCCACAAACAGGTAAAAACACTGAAAGATTTAAGTCACCCAGGCCCAGAAACAAAGCATTAAAAATTCAGACGTTATCGGAGGTTGGAAATGTGCATCAAATGTAACCCAGCTGGAATCATCCTGGGAGGAAGATTACAAAGTTAGCCAGGAGATCCCATCTCCCCCCTCCCAAAATCAATGCTCTGATGAATTGATATTTTGGAATAGACAAATCCATCTTGGCAGTCACTTGGGAAGAGTTGCCAAAAGAGTAAGAGAGTTGGAAGAAACTTTGAAGGTCTTCTAGTCCAATCATATGCTCAAGCTAGAGACCTATCCCATTTCAGATAAATGCCTGTCTGCTCTATTTTTAAAAACCTCCAGTGATGGAGCATTCATAACTTCTGGTGGCAAGTTGTTCCACTGGTTAATTCTTCTCACTGGTAGGAAATTCCTCCTTAGTTCTAAGTTGCTTCTCTCCTTGATTAGTTTCCACCCGTTGCTTCTTGCCCTGCCTTCAGGTGCTTTGGAGAATAGCTTGACTCCCTCTTCTTTGGGGCAGCCCCTGAGATATTGGAACACCGCTATCATGTCTCCCCAGGTCCTTCTTTTCATGAAACTAGACATCCCCAACTCCAGCAACCGTTCTTTGTGTGTTTTAAAGAGGAGCATCACTTTGTTGCATTTGTAGCTCAATCTTGCATTCCCCCCCCCCTCTTTTTTTCCCCAAGGTCACTTTGAGTTATGGGATGTTTGAAAACAAGAGGAATTCCATCCATATGAAGGGGGCTTTCTCAGTGGAGGAAGATCCTTCCAGGTAAGAATCGCATCTGTCTGTTGTCTGAATTAGCTGAAATTTACACTGTGTGAAGGAAAGAAGTTAGAAATGACCGAAAGGAAAGTCAATAATATTTTTTTGGGGGGGGGGGGGGGGAGAAGGGAGAGGGAGATAGATAGATAGATAGATAGATAGATAGATAGATAGATAGATAGA